TGTCTCCTAGTTGATATCGTCTTACTTCATCTTTTTCCAGTCAGAGACGTAGAGATATCTCTGATCATCCATGAACGATCCTCGACAATCGATGTTGTCAATGAAGATTTCTCCTTGAGTTGTGCCACTACGACGAGACCATCGTACAAGTCGGCTATTTCCCCTATCGCAAATAATGAGACTATCAGTCTCTTTGTCGATTAGCACATCGGTTGGCCAATTCAATTGATCCAATCGATTTCCTTTGCCATTACCACCAGCTACAACTCGTCCATTCTTATCACCCATCTTCCATTGGACGATACGCTCATTCCTCCAGTCAGCAATGATCATCGTTTGATCATCATCAACGAAGAGACCATGAGGCCAGTAGAGTTGATTTGTGGAATAGCCTTCTCGATTATCTCCAGCAACGGTCTTTCCATTTTGTGACCATCGAGCATCGATTGGAATATTGGGAATAACTACAATGAACAAAGAAAATGAATCGTCGTCATTGTCGAAGAGATCTTTGTCTTTCATGCACGAGAAAGTACTTTCCATCACTTAGTCTTTAAGAAAAGAACTTTGTGAGTATTCTGTTGTGTCAATAATTATTTCTAATATCTGAAATGTTAAGCTCTCAAAATTCTAAGGAGATTTCCATGTATGAGTTCATAAGTGTAAAGAACACAAAATTTTGCAAGCATGAAAAGAAAAGAAAACAAGACAATGAATAGTCATTTTTGGTAGAGCTTGAAGTGTCCTTTCAAATGATAACTCTTTCTCGTTTGTCTCTTTTTCTTCTTATGCTAATCAATTTTCTGTGCTTCTTCAAAATTTCAGCACTTTTTTCTTTCTATATGTTTTCCAAGGGCATTGATTACTCTATCCAACGGTGTGGGTGTGGGTGGGGTGTGGGTGTGGCTCTTCGTCTCTGAATCATGTATTCATTCCCATATTAACACTCTCACTCTCACCCAGAGAACATTACTCACACCCACACCCACCCACCCACATCCACACACCCACATCCACAGCCACACACCCACACCCGCCTAATCTAAAATACTGATTAGGCTCAAATACGATTTCCAATCATTAACTATCTGTCGATTCTTGTATTGATCTCATAGAACAACTAAACAAATCATTCTCTATTCACTACCCATGTCGTAAATATCACGTCATATTGCTAGTAATCTGAATATTAATTATTATTACATAAAATAAATATTTTTTTTTGTCTTACTTTTATCATCAAATAATCGAAATGAACGCTAAATGTAATATTATTTTGAAACAGATTTCTTTTATTTTAATCATCTGATTGCTAAAGTGAACACATATAGTTCAATGTGGACTAAAACAGGTGACAGAACTCTGATAATCGATAAATATGAGGTACACTATTACAGCAGTTATTTTGACATGTGCATGTTATTGAAGTCTGTTAAATTTGATAAATATAAATTGATTTCAACTAAACTGTACAATATTGAGACGTCTGATTCGTCTGTACTAGCTATGAAGCATAGGTCGACTCAACTGCTAAAATAAATTACTTATTACAGACGGGGTGTGAATGGGGGGAGCTATAAAGAGTCTACATGCCAGCATCGTATCTACACTCTATTTTTCCAATCTGACAAAGGCATAAAAGTGTATCACTGAGATGAAGCTGCAATTACTTTGCGCTCCTTGGATAGTCTTTTGAGTGAGCTTTCCAGAACTAATGAAACATTGTTGGTCAAACAAGATTACGAAATGAAAACTAGACTCGAACAAAAAAAAATAATAAACAAAGAAAATACTAAGGATCACTCATTCGATTGTATCTTAGGATAGAAGTCTGAAGAAAAGTCAAACGTGCTAATTCGTAGCATTGATTCCGTTCTATCATTTGAAATATTTCTCTATCTAATACTGTGCGATCTGTCGGAGATATTTTCGTCGCACTCCTTCAATGCTATTGATGAAGAAAGAGCAATGAACATTTTATTTTTTGAAACTGCTTATATTCAGTTGGTTCATGAGAACTTGTAATAGAAACAACTTAAAGAGCTAAAAATTGAAGTTTTTGATGATAAAGACTGTGCTTTTGTTTCCAATAAGAACAACATGAATTGATTCTTCATTGATTATGACTAGTTCCTATTCTGCCTCGATTCCTGTACTGTGAAGGTTACAAATGAATATCTACAAGTACTTAGCACCACTGACATCTATGAATCGGCAACTTTTACCTTTATGTAGTGGTTTATATGCTTCCTCAAGCACTACATGCCAACGTGGTTGATCAGAGAAGGTTAATTGTATCAGGTTTCCATTATTATGTAATAATTGCAGCTGTGCCATATCATCGGCGTTCACGCGACTGTTGTAAAACTCTAAATGCGTCAAAGTATTACGTTCTTTCGAAGCGTGAAGAAGTGCTTCTGTGAGGTTGCGTGAAACATCTGATGCAGATATACAGAGATGTGATATAAATTCATAATTTCTTAATGTTTCAATCAAATGAGCTTCTTTCTGACTCAATGGTTGTATACCTTGGACATGTAAGTCAAGATGTTTAATTGACTTGTGGCTCTTCAATATATCCAAAAGATTAATAAGAAAAGTTTCATTCTCAAAACCACTTTGATTCATTAGATCGATTTCAACAAGTGTTTTATTTTCCTTCAACATTTTGCAGAAATGAGATAATATTGAAAGTTCGCACAATAAATGAGTCATTTTCAGTTGACGCACTGCGTTAGTTTTGAACATAAATATAGTATTGAGAAGATTAATGCTGTTACAATACTCCACAATCAATCCTGTGATCATGTTGTTCGCTTCAAGACACTTCTGAAGATCATCCTCGTGCCAGAGAAATTCCCATGCACAGAAGTCCAAAGTTCGATGTTTCTTATTTTGCAGCAAAAGCTGAGTAAGAATCTGTGTATTTCCATCTTGATATTTGTTGCAGAAGCGAACTTTCAATACTTGATCGTTGAACTCTGTGACCATATATTTGCAGGTATATTCTGATCGAACAATAAATTTGTTAATATCAACAGTGATCATGTTCAGATAACGAATCGACGACTGGTTGATGACGATATCAAGCAGAATATCGAGAGCACTCTTGGAGAATGAGCATTTTTGACATGTTAGCTTCACGATATTAGAACCTTTTGCAAGGGCATGACACAGCATCCTAACATTTTTGCTGTTATACTTCATTTGACTTACGACTGCTTCGTTAGTCTTTTCATTGAATTGACAGCCTGTGGCTACAAAATCACGAATATATTTATGAATTTTAGTATTAAATCTAATAACTTCGTATTTTTTGAGATAGTCAGAAAACATGACTCCTAACAGTGTCTGTTTAAAATAAGTTTCCGAAACAACTTTTACTATCGACAAACTCTAAATATGTTTTAAATTCCTGTAGTTTCCAGCCTAGAAGTAGCATTTGATAGAACAGAAATAAAAAATAAAGACAGCTGACTTGTAAACGAAAACATCGATTACCAAATCTAATTTGATCAATGTGTTATAGTCTGAAAGTAACGTAAAGATGGGCGCGGTTCGATTTTCTTTAACTTAAGTCTAATCTGACCGAAAAAAATTCTTTTTAAAAATTTCACTAGAGATAACTACAATTGGTAACTATTTTTGGAATTCCAATCGTTCGTCTTCTTTCGAATAGTACTCGTCTAAAACCCTACTTCCATCATAAAAGATTACAAATCAAAACACTCCCACAAGAAGTGGTCTCTTTGATATTATTGAAGAAGCTCCGTTAAGTATTTAATTATTTATTTATATTTCTAACCTACAAAAATCATTTCAAGTCTTCCAGTGTCCCCGCTGTGTTGTCAACGGTTTTAATATTTACAATATGACAAAACAGTCTAACAGGAAACTGATCTGAAATGTTTATCCTCGTGAAGCTATCAATACAGCCAGCATCATCTAATGTTAGACGTCTGACGTTATTATTTTTATATGTATAAATAAATCTATTGCTTTTTACTGACCATTTAATTTTTATTTTATTCAAAATTAGAAGAAACATTAGTATTACATTAAATGGTGTTTACTTAGTCTTTACCTAAATACTGTCTTCTTTAAAGAAGGTAATTAGTTTGTTAACATTCTGTTTTTTGCTTAGGCAACGTAGGATAAGAAACAACATGAATACTCCCACTGTTGATTATGAAATCTTGTTTCTATCAATCTCTTTCTCATGTAACTTAGAACCTACCACAAAAGAAAGAAATGTGTACGGTGAAGAAAATTGTCTATTCAAACAAATTTTTTATTGTTGACATAATCTGATGATTTTCACTGATCATCGATCACGCCTAATCTGCACAGATAGAATTACAGTGTCATATGGAATTCAGATATCGAGTTTTTGTAATGGCTTATTTTCAAATATATCTGTAAACCTAATGAGTATCTATTTGTTCTTCTAAATCACCGCAAGTAAATCGACAATCTTAATCAAAGAAATGTTCCTCATTTCACATAAACGTCATCCTTTATACTTTGTTTGAATTGAATTACTTTTTTCTTTTGTAGTGCCACTTCAGGAAAACATAGGAATTTTTAGAAATTTAAAAAACATATATAGGATCTTCCTAATTCAAAAGGATTTTATTTCTTACGCTGTGAGAGATTTGGTAAAAATAAAACTGGTCAAAAACATTAATTATATCAAAAGAATCTCAATAAGAATG